AAAAAAAAAAAAAAAAAAAAAAAAAAAAAAGAATAAAAATTAGTATCTAAAGTGTGGCTCTAACAAGTATTCTCTTATATCATTGTTGTTATTCATAAGGATGCAGCTTAGATGGCTTTGCACTCAGAGATTTATCTCCGTGTTCTTTTATCAGTTCATTGCAAATGTCCAAGTTCTCCATAGTCTGGGAGTATTGCCATGTGCATAGTCAGAAAGACTTGCCCTGTTTTCTTTCATTCTCTACTAGCAAGTTGTGTGTTTTGTGATGGGGGGCAGCCTTGGACCCGGGTGGGCACTGAGGGATGGTAAGCCCTCTGTTTGATTTCTTGCTCTCTGATGGAGTAAGCAAACTGTGCCATTTGGCAGGAACTGAGTCACAGAGGGCAGATGGCAGGCTCCTTCTCAAACCTCCAGACAGCATCATTGTCAGGACCTTGCTGATGAGGTCTGCACTCTCTGCCAACTGAAAACTCCCAGCGCTGTGTCCATGAGTTCCTGGCGTAGATGTCTCTGTGCCTGAGCTCACTCTGGATGCGCATCTGCAGAGGACTCTATCTATTCTCCTCTTATGTCTTTGGGTGGTGAAATGCTTTACATTGAATTTTAGATCCATACAAATATTTGTGATGGTGAATTATTTTGATAACTGTTTTGAATGAGAGTTTTGAAACAGCATATTTTTTTCTTATGATGGATTCCAAGAAACCTGAGTTAATCATCTACAAAATTTCTCTGAATCATCTGTACTGGGTCAGATAAAAATGACATTTTAAAAGAGATGCCTTACTTGATAACTGCTTTGCGGTGGATTCACCTTGAAGTAATTATCTTTTTGTTCTTATATGAAAGGAAGTTCTGTGTGAAATACACATGTGTGCAAGACGTGTTGTATATTGACCACTATTCTAGACAGGAGAGGAAAGGGTACTCAGAGATCAATGCCATGCAGTCTCTTCCTTCCTGCCCAATCAAGTGGCTAAGACTGGGTCTGATTACAGTGATTAGAATGCATTTGATCCCTGGAATGCATTGGCAGACCTATGAAATTTTCAGCATTTGAATCCAGTGATACTTATTAAGTTTATCAAAGTGCTTGCTATTACATAAGCAGCTTACAGTTCAACGTATGGATTTTCATGGGTGGACAGAGTATGGATAAGTCATGATCTTGTCCTAATTGTGTTCCTTTCTCATAGTAATTGATAAAATTTCTAACCTTAGTTCTTTGACCAGAAGTAATGACTTTAGCACCTGATTCTTAGAGTAGTTTTGTAGGTATTTAGCACAAAAGGAACCTCTTATGCTAAACATCCAGATGGCCTCTAAATTTGTAGACTGAAATCACATTTTAAGATCATATGCATTTTGATATTTAGGTTTTGGCATATTTGCCTAAAAGCATAACTCATTTTAACTCATCACATAGGTCTTATGTGTTGGCAAATTGACTCAGAAAGCAAAAGGAACAGTTAAAGATAAATGTTAATGTATAGTTGCTTTCTCATTTTTCTCGTATCCCATATGTTGATTTTGATCTTCTTGTAGGGGAACTGTGTTATTTATAATGGAAGATAAAGATTATTGAGTATTTCTACTTTGAAAATTGCATTATTCATGGAATACATGGGTGTAAAAACCCTTTATGAAAAATGAAATGATGTCTTTGTTATAATTTTTCTACATTGCTCAGTCAAATTCATCATTGTCTTCAACTGCACATCTATTGCAAATAACTTCTTCTTCTGCCTCTAGGCTGCAAAGAGAGAGATCTTTGGGAATGTCCATCCAATAAACAATGTTTGAAGCACACCGTGATTTGTGATGGGTTTCCAGACTGTCCTGATAATATGGATGAAAGAAACTGCTGTACGTGATTACATGAATTTGTCAACACATTTTTAAAATTATAAATACCAATTACCTCACTTTGAATACAAGGTATACATTTGTATCCAAAGCTTCTGATTTCTTCAGACCTTTTGACTAAACCTCTACTGGTAGAGATATATGCCAAGAAGACGATCAAATTCTAACATTGTTTATAACATTCACAAATTAAAGTACCCCAAAATGTTTACATGGGAGACATAAAATACAACCATAACATAATATACAAACATTAAAATTAAACTAGGAAGGAATAATTCTCCTGAATTCATTATATACCTTTAGCTGATATATTAGTTAACTTCTCAATACTGTAACAAAATACCAGAGATAATCTATTTAAAAAGAAGAAACGGTTGTTTTGACTTACAGTTCTGAAGATTTCAGTCCATGCTCAGGGGACACACTGTTTTGGGGCCTGTACTGAGGCAGCACATCATGTTGGGGTACACAGCAGAAATGGCCAGTTCACTTCATGGCTGGATGCGGAAAGAGAGGAAGAGGAAAGTTCTAGTGTCCCAATATTTCCTTCAAGGCGTGCCCCCAGTAAACAGATCTCCCCCTAAACACCATCTCCCAATGCACCCGCAATTTAAGGACACTTACCTTTACTTAATGGGCCTTTATAAGGTACTTTATCTATCTATCTATCTATCTATCTATCTATCATCATCATCATCTATCTATCATCTATAGTTCAGAAGTTCATAAAAAGTTTACAGTTATAATCTCTGGGTGTTAGAATTATTACACTTTTGTGCCTTTTAAAAATATTTTTACAGCTAAGTGAATAGTTATCTTTGGAAACAAACAAAAATTTATGTCTCTTAAGATTATTTACTACAGGGGGCTGGGGATTTAGCTCAGCGGCAAAGCGCCTGCCTGGCAAGCGCAAGGTCGTGAGTTCGGTTCCTGGTACCGGAGAAAAACCAAAAAAGATTATTTACTACAAGTAACAGAAAGCCGAACTCTGACAATGAGATATTCATCATTTTTATTATCATATATATCCCATATGTTTTATATCGTCAGATGACAAGTCCAGAAAGTTTAGGGTGAATTCTCGGGGCTGTATATGGGAATTCAGTACTCTGTGATTCCTTTATTTTTCCTTGACCTCAAGCTGGCTGGTCAAAAGCCAGAGCACCTGGGCAGCCAGCTCCCTTGATTGCATCCAGTAGGAAGGAAAAATAAGTTTGCTCCTATGACTGGAACATCACTAAAGGATTCACTCAGGTCAGCTTTGAGTAGAGTTACAGTTAGCAGTCTAGAACCTTTGTGTAGGTTAGAAAGATCCTGTCCAGGGACAGCTGAATTCCAAAAAAGAGCACCATGTGGGGAGAACTAATTAGAAGAAAATGCTCTTTCCCCGGGCTGCACCTATCCCAGGCTGGGGCTTATGGCTTGGTCAGCAGAGGCTGGGAAGGAGCTATCTTGCAAAAAACAGCCATGAAACCATAGTCCCAGGCTCTGCTCTCAGATGTTTACTTTTGGGCTAATAATTGTACTTAGGGAAGCATAATTGTAATTTGGAAAATGTCATGCCCAGCTTAAAGTAATCAGTCTTCCTCTGGAGCTAGGGATGGCAGGTGTGGTGCACTGAACAAAATCAGATTTCATTAAAGAGGAAAGGAAATGGATGCTATGTAGGCAAAGAGATTTACTGTAATTTTAAAAAATCCAAGAGAGAATTGTGTCTGACTCAGAGAGTAACTTAATAGTACAGAATTTTTTTTTTTTAAAAAATAACTATATCCACTTGCTTGAACAGAGCTTGTTTTCTTCCTATTGTGGCTCAAGTCTTCTTGTTCCTCTCGCTTTGCTCATGCAGATGTTAACCCTAATCCTTAACCCTTGGTGTCTCTGCCACTCTGGATACCCATTTCTTTTTCAACCCAATTGTTAAAATAAGAGAATCTAGGCACTTGGCCACTGTAAACCTGTTTAAATATTTGGACGAGTTGACATCTATTGTATGATTGTATGTCTATTATACAGATTGTACAAGTTCTGTTACTCTACACTAATACCTACCTGAAGGGCTCCTTGGCCACATACTTTCTTTCTGCCATGCAACTGTTGGCAAATGAGGGTGTGCACGTTAGCAGCAGTCACTGGTACTTCCAGAAGTTTCAGTCTTCTTACCTTTTGCTTCCCCTGCCAGCATTTTGCCAAGATGATGAACTGGAATGTGCCAACCACGAGTGTGTATCACGTGAGCTGTGGTGTGACGGAGAAGCCGACTGCTCAGACAGCTCGGATGAATGGGACTGTGGTAAGCTGCTCGCTGCTGCCAGCTGCCGAGTACTCCCGTGCCTCTCAGCCGTTTAAGTTAAATGAATCCTAAATTACTTCATGGTTTTTACAAACCAAGTTCATCTATTTTGCTTTACTGCTATAAAGCTGACAGTGGTGATTCATGGATGTTATTTGTAAGTCACAGATAATCCCTCCCCCATGTCACTTCTCTATTCGAAACATCTGTATTATATGTCTAAAATTTGGGGCTCAGATTTGGGCAATCATATAATTTCTTAAATAGATTTTTAAAACATTTTATCACTCAGGTTCGATAATGATCAATGTTCTGCGATTCTTTGATCACGGATTTATACCTCTTGGAATAGATATTAAGTGGCCCCCCATCTGCTCTATGCTTTTGCTTCAAATGAAAAAGAAACTTTAACTTCCCTGGTTCCTTACCGGGACAGGATTTAAAGGTGTCTCCCATAGTATTGCCAACAGGCGGTTTGTAATCTTGAGTTATCTAATTAATTCCTGACGCCATTTTCACCACTCTTTTCTTTCATTCAGCTTTTTTTTTTTTCAGTATGTTCCAATTACTTGGACAAATCATAATTTTCGTGTGCTGTGTTCAACTGCATAGTGTTTAGTAAGTGATCTGCGGGAAATCGAGTGCAGAGGCTGCTTTTTGGTATAATAGGGAGTAGTGCATACACCACATTCATCCTAAACTAGCATCACTTCACACTCTTGCAAGTGCATATGCTTTCTCCAAAGAAAATGCTACAAAGAGTTATACCTAGCTCCTTATAATTTATGCAAATCCCTGGGTCAAGTCAAGACAGTGGGCCCTGCCTCTGACAGTATGTGGCTTAAGAAAGTCAAGAGTTGACTATTTCACAGCATCTACAGTTCAGAGAATGGACAGAAAACATTTCTAACTCATTTTTTTTCTTAGTCTACCATCACACTGAGAGTAGTGATCTGCCTGCGGTGGGGATTCCCCCAAAGGTTCTTCATCTAAGTAAATAAGAATGAATGTATGCGATCCGAATAAAAGAATTTACAGTTATGATTTGGTTTCCTGAGAAGAAATGTTTTTAATTAGGGTTTCCTGCCCTTTTCCCCTCAGTGACCCTCTCTAAAACTGTGAACTCCTCAGCACTCCTGAGTGTTCACCGATCTGCGACAGAACACCACGTGTGTGTGGACGGCTGGGAAGAGACCCTGAGTCAGCTGGCCTGCAGGCAGATGGGTCTAGGGTAAGGTCAGTAGTTTGTAGCACTGATGAATTTCTCCGCGGGCCTCACGGACCTCGGCAGCGTTACCTTCCTCACGAACGCATAGCGAGTGAGCGCTCTCAAACAAAGAGGACTCCGCAGTCTGGGAAAGGAATCAGGTAAAAGGATTTTATTTAACTACAGGCACCTGCTGGGAAGAATGCGGCCCCAAACCTCCTTTGACGAAGACTCAAAGTAAATGAAGTAATTGTGTTTCAGGCACTTCTGAAATGAAATACTTTCATTATTTATAAAAGCATTAAGATGGTTTCCTTTATGGAAATTGTATGAAAAAACTTTTCATCTTGCAATTTCCCCCCAAGAGGTTATTCAAAATTCCTTTTTAAGCAACACACATTTTTCAGTAATTCAAGGAAAGGAGAATTTGAGTTTGCTGGCATTTCTATTACCATAAGTAACACAGGAAATGTAAATCAAGAAATAACTCACCATCTTTTGCCTTTTAGCAGCATGAAGAGATGCAGTTTGGATTTACTACAAATTCACAGAAGCAGATATTCTGAAATTTACAGACCTTCTTTTTGTGAGGTTTTCCTTTCTTCATTCCATGGCAGATAGAAAGCAACAATTTTCAAAGGTCTTAGAATAGGTATATGAGTGTATATGTATATATTTATATGAAATATTTCACATATCAATACATATTTCTTTTAGAAATGATATACATGAGATTTTGAATAAATGTAGAAATATGCAAAATAAAAGTGAAGTAGTTAGAATAAAACCAAGCAAATGTCATTTTCTATTATCCATTGAGCAAGCATGGGAGAATTTTACAGTGATGAGCCCTGTGATCCTGGGATGGCACTGAAGCACATTTATGCCATCCCCGTTTGAAGAATTATATGACTCCCAACATCTTGAGCTCATTTTTCATATTCAAAGGCCCTTGTCTTTGGAAAATTGCATAATTAATGCTGATCTATAATAAAAGAACTTTAAACTTTTCCAGTGTGGAAAAATTATATTTGTCAAGATCCCTCTAATTATGCTCCATTTTCACAACTTCCTGATTCTGTCTAACTGAAATGGATATGCCTGTAATCAAAAATAAATTAATGTGCTTAGTTTGAGCTTTCATCTCACCAAGACCAAAGTTATTTCTTAATTTGAAAATTTGATTATACAATAATAGAACTGCCACATTTCTTTTTTTTTTTTTTTAAGAGCAGAATATATTTATTGAGTGAAAGAAAGCTTCTTTCCAAGAGAGGGACAGAGGGGGCCGAGTAGGTTGCCCAAGACTCTGTCTTTTCTAGGGACTTTTATAGAGCAAAACCACGAGGTGAGGTAGGTCCAAGGTAGGGGAAGAATGGACAAAACTATGGTCAACCAATAAGCATTGTTCAGGTAAAACTGATTAAATCGGGGTCAAATGGGAAGCAAGCGGGCATGAATACAGAACAGGGGATTTTCCTGTTGGCTAGTGACTGGGGTTGGGCTAGTGACTCTTTCTGGCTTTTTGAAGGTAGTTGCTATCTATTTAGAATATCAACCCCTGATGTGTACTCCTAGGGAAGTATGTGGGTACATTTGTTTAGTCCTTTGTCTTGAGGTCTGTCCCACAGAAAATATGTCTCCCTTCACAAGGTATCTTATCTTTCATGTTGGCTCCTTCAAGGGCCTGGCCCTATCTTACTGCCTATAATATTTCTATCTAACTCAGCTGCCTGTAACATTCCCCCTCTGAAGAAGTAACCCGAACTGCCATGAGGGAGTAACAGGAGATGACCGCTCTCGCTTCTTCAGGCTGAAAGGGATTCTAGTTGTTGACTGGCAGTCAGAGATGTTTTCCAGGGGTCTATCTAAAGGCCCTCGATAGACACCAGGCATTTTCACCTTGAATAGGCATATAGCTTTAAATCTGGAGGAGACAAAGCCAAAGAAACAATTAAGTATGCATGGGCCAAATAATAAAATCAACAGGATTATTATGAGTATAGTCAACAAAGATTAAAATGGCTCATGCTTATATAGCAGACACATGGAATTCCTACTAAAATTATGTAGGAAAAACCTTCATCTCCCATTTTGTCTTGAAGTACCAGTTCATTCATTCATTCATTCTGGAAGCATATATAAAGAATGGCATTGTAATGCAGTGTCCAGAAGCAACTAAATTCCAGTGGGTCACTCATCTACTCAAAGGGGGAGATTTTGGAGATAGTTCTTCAAGAATTCAAGTCTACATCATGTGGCATATTTTTCTGGGATTCCATTGAAATGCTTCCATGGTGAAGGCAGTTGATTACAGAGACCTACATTTAGGGTATTCAGATCCCAATTATGCCTCCGTGTCTTACAGCACAAATGTTAGTTCTCCATTAAGTGCTTGTATGAATAAAAATAATTGTTATTTGTTGAATCTGAACACTTTTTACTCTCATCCGTAGATGAGGTGTTTTAGGAGTTCACCTCAGGCTGGAAATACAATGATTATTTGCTTAGGCAAAGGTATAAATAAATCCCCTAAACTCTCTTTACAGCATGTTGACTTTGCTACCTACATGTCCAGTATCAAAAACATATGCACATTGATTTAATTGACAGTACAGATCGAATTTGACTGCCCTCTAATACTTGCCAAATGCTCAGTTGAGACATCTGGTGTTTCAGAACTTAGTCCAAGGGGATGAGACTTTCTGTGTCTCTTGGCTCCCTTAGTTCCATCTCTGTACAGAATGAGATCATCGGGAAACAGTGTGTCTGGGCTCTCCCATTTTGGCAAACATTCCTTTATGGACTTAGTTATAATTGAATTTTGTCCCCCATCTTTTAGAGTTTGTCAGTACAAGTAACTTCCTTTTGCAGAATGTTTCTGTTTTAGGCAAAGCTATAGTCAAAGTAGCATCTGTTATATCACCTAGTGGTTATTAATCTTTCCTGATGTAAGAATTTACATTGTAATTTCCTTCTAGTTTATTCCCAAAGAAAAGTTTCTCACTTCACATTTCTTTAGTCACATAAGAACTTTTACTCTAGGACGGTTTCCTAATTGATGTGCTTTCATTAAACCCACAGCTGGATGTCATCCTCTGGAACAGTAAATCTATACTAGGTCCTTTACATAGAAGTCACAGCGAAGCAGTTTGAAAACTCATTACGATTTTTTAAAATTGAGAAATAACTTATATGCTATAAAATTCGTTCTTTAAAAGCATATAATTCAGGTGCTTTTACTGCATTCACGAAGTTATGCAATCAACACTGTTTAATTCTAAAATATTTTTATTAATCCCGGAAGAAACACCGTGATCATTAACATCATTTCTTTCTCTGTCTCCTGATAAGTACAAATCTACCGTCTGTCTCTGGATTTTCCTGTTGTGCACATTTCATATAAATAGTATCATACCACATGTGACTTTTGTGTCTGCCCTCTTTCACTTAGCATGTTTTCAGAGTTCATTCATCTTATAGAACATATTAGCACTTCATCCTTGTTTATAGTTGGATAATTTTCCATATTTTGATCATCTGTTCATCAATTGATGGGCAACTACTTCCTCCTTTTTGACTACTATTTATAATGCTGATATAAACAGTCATATGCATGCTTTTGTATGAACATGTATTTTCAAATTTTTGGATAGCATACAAGTAGGACTAGTATGGGGCAAGGGTAATTCCATATTTAATTTTTAAAGAACTTTCCCAAAAGACTGTACCATTTTATACTACCTCTAACAATGCATGAGAGCTTGCATTTCTCTATATCCTTGTCCACACTTTTTATTGTCCATTTTTATTATAGTCAACTTAGTGGATATGAAGTGCTATTTTCATTGGGATATGGATTTGCATTTCCCTAATAGCTAATTATGTTTAGCATCTTCTCATGTGTGCATTGGCTACTAGTGTGTCTTTTGGGGAGAAGTGTCTATTCAAGCTTTTTGTTTCATTATCATCTTTTACTAATATATATTTCTATTATTTAACATATGGGCAGCTACAAAGCCCTATGATTTTCTTTCTAAATGTTTATTTTGTTCCTTTCCTCCCATTTATTTATTATATGCATGTATACTAGTCATTTTTTTGATGCTGGGACAAAATATCCAACACACACAATTTAAAAAGAGAGAGATTTAATTTGACTTTTAGTTTTAGAGGTTCCAGTCCATTGTCAGCTGGCTCCAAAGCAGGAACATCACGGCAGAGGAGTGAGGTGGAGCCAATATACTCACTTCACGGCAGCTGAGAAGCAGAGCATAGGGAAAGACCATTAGTGAGAAATACTCACTCCAAATGCACCTGCCCAGTGACATACTTCCTCCCACTAGACTGCATCTCTTAACTATATATTCAGCTGTGAACATCAGGGGATTAACCACTGATAACTGCAGTGCCACCATAACCCAAGCATCTGTCCTGGAATTTATTAATCCAGTCAAACTGACAATAAGAGTAAGTGATGCAACATTTTTACTCAGTGCGTACCTACTAGGAACTGTTCTAGATGCCTAGAGTACAATAGTGAACAAAAAGATAATGATCTTGCCTTAGATAGCTTATATTCTACTGGATGCTCTGAGAAACCATAATAAACAAGTGAATAACATAGGAGTTTAGAAAGTAGAAAGGGGTTTGAGAAGTGGGAAAAAAAAAAAGGACATGAGGGGTCCCAGAGTTCAGAGTTGAGGTAGATTTTACTTTTTAATAGGATGGTCAGGTAAACCTCACTGAAAAGCTGACAGTGTGGCAAGAATGTGAAGTAGGTGAGCGATTTTCCAAGTAATTATGGGAAAAAACATTCAACTGAGAGGGAGCAGTTGTATGGCAGGTACTGAGGCAGGAATATTCCGGAATCAAGGAAGCCAATGAGATTAGAGTAGAGTGACTGGGCAGGGTGGTAGGGGCTGGTGTGGGAGAGAGAAAGCAGCGGGTGCTGCAGAGGACAGAAGGCCTTGTGAGCCACTTTAAGAAGTCCGACTTTTACTTTGAAATGGGAACCTTTTGGG